GCAGCAGCAGCAGCAGCTGCTGCTGCTGCTGCTGTTGCTGCAGTGCTGTTGTTACCGCTGCTGCGGGTGCTACAGTTCCTGTGCACTCCAGCGCACCGTTAGCTGTGGAAAGCAGCAGCAGCAGCAGCAGCGAGCCTTGCAGGGACAAGCAGAAGCAACAAGTGCTGCGGCTGCTGTAGCGCCTCGTGGGAACTATTCCTTTTGCTGCTGCTGCTGTTGCTGCTGCTGCTGCTGCTGCATCTTGCTGCAGACCCTGGGAAACAAGATGGAAGAAGTTCTTCAGCATATTGGCAACGTCAGCCACACCTGGTGAGGGCCAGCAAAGGCAGCATCAGCACGAGAGGTGGCAGCAGCTGCTGCTGCAGCTGCTATAGGGGCAGCAGCAGTATTAGAAGCAGCAGCTGCTGCTGCTAGCAAGTGCTGCAGCTGCTGCAGCAGAAGCACGCCTTGCATGCAAGCGCAGAGGCACGAAAAGGCGCAAATCGTTCGCGTTGCTGCTGCTGCTGTTGCTGCTGCTGTTGCTGCTGCAGGTTTGATTTTCATGCGGAGTGCAAGAACATGCGGTGGGACCGCCTCAGCAAGTTGCTGCATCAGCTGCAGCAGCAAATCGACAGCCAGGGATCTCTGCGGGTTTTGCTGCTGCCTGAAGAGATAGCAGCAGCAGCAGCAGGAGACTGTCCCGTGCCTGGGTGGCAGGTGGCGCAGGTGTGTATAGTTCTGCTGCTGCTGTTGCAGCTGCTGCTGCTGCTGTTGCTGTTGCTGCTGCTGCTGTGCTTCCTGTCTGTGTCTCTCTTTTTCTATTATTCTCTTTCTTGCTGCTTCTGTCCCGTTGCTTCCTCTATTTGCTGCTGCTTCTGTCTTTGCTTCCTTGGGCCTTTTATTGGTCAGCTGCTCTTCTTTTGCTGCTTGAATATTTTAATCCCTCCTTTGCTTTTTTTGCTTCCTCATATATCTCTTTCTTCTCATCTGCTGCTGCTGCTGCTGCTGCTGCTGTCTCTTTTTGCTTCGCCCTCTTTCTCGCGGCTCTTCGGGCTTCTTCGCACCCGTGCTGCTGCTAGTCTAACTAACCCTAAACCCCAAACCCTAAACCCTAAACCCTAGATCGGGTTCAGGGTTTAGGGTAGCTGTTAAGTCCGGCTTAATTCCTCATTCGCGCACAGTCTCGATGGCCGTCCCGTCACCCCCCAGATTAGCAGCAGCAGCAGCAGCAGCAGCAGCGGTGCTGCTTCTTGTCTTTTGGTTTTTGCGTTGCTGCGTTCAGGTGTACAGACAGCAGAGGGGAGTCATGCGGACCAACTGCGTGGACTGTCTAGACAGAACAAGTGTAGTTCAAAGTGTCTTTGGTCGAGTTGTGCTGCAGAAGCAGCTGGCAGCCTTCAGTTCAGCAGCAGCTCCCGCAGCAGCAGCAGCTGCTGCTGCTCCTCCTCACGACGCTGCAGCAGCAGCTGCTGCTGCTGCTGCAGACGAACCCTTCGCCCCCATTCGGGTCTCTCCTGCTGCTGAAGAAATCTTCAGGACTCTCTGGACCGCCAACGCAGACGCGCTCTCTATTCTTTATTCAGGTGCCGCCACTTCGGCAGCAGCAGCAGCAGCAGCAGCACAGCAGCAGCAGC